TCAACCGGCATACTCGCGCTCTGATTGGTCGGGATTTTCTCTTAATATCTCCACAACGAAGCCTCGGACAACATTTTCGCTAAGGAAAAAGTTGTTTCAAATCACCTCCCGAACCACTCCTTTCAACGTGTTACAACATTTTTGGGACACCCTGTATTATAGTAGACGCATACAATGCCTACTATAATATAAACATTTAATTATGCATTGTAAGCGTTCCCCATACAATATTTTCCGCGTAACTAGTAAAAATATCGAAAGCATTTGTAACATTTATAAAATTCTGTTATTTGACGGAATAATTTTCGATTATTTTATACATACGAATATGTATAACATTCGATGAGGTATTACGTCGATTACATAGGAACCATCAAAGTAACTCTTTGTACATTTCACGTAACAATAGAGACTTTTCAATAGAATAAACGTGCGTAACTAAAAAGAGACCCACGTTCATCCTGCTGCGAGTGGTTTTTGTGAATGCTTGAGAAGAAAACCGAGCGACTGTGTGCTCCCCTCTCCTGATTACGCCATTGGCTCGACCTAGCGAGGCAGCACGAACAACCGGCTGCGCTGTTGCCAAGCGGAAATCACAGACCTGCGGCATTTTCTTCTTCCACGAAGACGCGTCGAGCTCACCTACCGCGTTGCCTCCTGCATCAGCCAATGCCCAGATACAACCAACGCTACTCGATTTATCAGCTATTTATTTCGTACCATGCCATTCTTAACTAAATAACAATCATTCCTAAGCTATAGTAAGAAACGTCCAACCTCTCTCAGATTTTAAAAATCGCGCGCGTAAACATGTACACAATTTTAAAAACACTCGAGTACACGATGAGCGGATAGAGTTCGATGAACGACGCGTAAAAGAACAGAATCCGAGACATGCTTTCAAGTGTCTCGTCTACATTATTTACGATTCAGAGAGGGTAACCTAACCTCGGTCGAAAAGTAAAAATGTTGAACTCGAAGACCCGTTCTCCGTTAAGTTGGCTAACGTATCGCGAACGCAGCGATACTATGGCGACCAGTTTCAACAAATCCACGTTGGAAAAAAAAAGTCCAATATGAAATGGAGGTCGATAGCGTGATGACCTCGAAGCGAATCGGCAATTTTACAATGCCGTGGCCTCTCGCGCGAAAGATATACGAGTGATATAGCGTACCCGGACGCCCTGTTGCCACGTCTCGATTCACTCGTCGTGGACTGGTCAAATACGTTCGCGGCGAGTCCTCGGACCTCGACACTCTACGTTGCGCGTTAACCAGAGATCTCGAATCGTTTCTGTCAATGAGTCGAGCCGAGGAGTCGAAGCCCTTGCACCGTTTCGTCTCCCACCGCGTTACGTTATACGTTCTGTTTATATCGTATACGTGAACATACAGCGATATCGATGCCACGCCATTCTACGCTATGATTACGGAAGACGGAGAGTGGGGAAATCTGCTTCGTTCCCAAGAGCAATTCTAGACGGCAGCGTCTTAAGGCGACGCCAGCGATACGAGCATATCTCTTTAACGAACCACCGACTCTAGTCAGTGGTAGTCATCTCAATCGATCCTGTACTCGATCGAAATTACAGACTCGTAACCTGACAATTTTTCGTTGCTCGCTATTATTCGTTAAAGTCTTTCCAATTAATACCAATGGGTATCTTCAAGCGTTTTACGAACAAAAACTACGCTCAAAGCTGTAAAATAATACATTTTTACTTCTCACTTGTAGAAATCAAATTTACTTTTCTTTTTTTTTTCGAACGATCCGATTGTGTAACTTAGTTTACTTTTTTTTTTTTTATGCTATTTGTTTCAAAAAAGCGAACTTTAAATTATTTTAGTCCCGGAAGAATCCGTGGAACAATTTCAACGTCTTGTACGGAAAAAAGCAAGCCCCGCAATAACTAAGGCGTGAGATCGGCGAGGCTGTATAACTAAACGAAAAGAAAATTTTCCAGGGCTGCGTTAGCAGGTATGCTTCTCAGTTCCAAAGCAGGTAAGATTGCCAGGTAAAACCTGTCCGCTTGGTTGTCTTTTTCCTTTTTGCGAGTAGGGCAGGTGGTCACAGCGCTCGACTTTCAACTGCGGAAGGATGGAAAAAATCCGTGACGAAACGTAAAGGAAAACTCTTTGTGGAAATAGCGGCATCCTGCTCCCAAAAGAATACGATTTTCCTCGACAAAAGAATACGATCTTCCTCGTAAATCTCCCAGAGATTTTCTGACACTTTTCTCTCTACTAAGAAAATTATTGTTCGATATGCCTGTTCTTTACGCGACGCTACTTCATAGTACCCTTGATTTCTACAAGTGGACCAACTCCGCTAGAGAAAGCTCCCCCCACACCACACAACAGTTTCTTCTCTGTGCTTCGTGGCTGGAGTTTAATACCTGGCGTCGTTCCTCCTGTCAACCCAATGTCAGACGTAACGTCTATCGTCGTTTCCGAACAGATTGAATTTCGATACATCGGAACAACTATATTTCCAATCCAGGGACATTCGATATCGGTGTTGTTCGCGCATACTTTAATCGTGCTGCCTTGTTCTTTTTCCCGACCAATGAATTTTTAATGCCTATTCACCTATAAAGTGGACCAACAGCGTGTAATTGCCTTGTCATCGTATAATGACTAACCGTGACTCGGTTTTCTTTTCTTAGAAGAGAATCAGCGATGAGGTGGCCATAAATTTTTGTGAAACAGAGTACAAGTTAATATCTATCGGTAACCACGAAAGTAACTTCACTACAGAGGATACTGAAAAACAGAAAGTCAGAGTTCTCATTGTGATTGCAGTGGAAGTTCTTAAAAGTGTAACGGTTTATTGTCTCGGATAGTATATGTGATTGTCCGAAGACATCCCTTTGAGGTGTATTAAGTTAAGTAAAATAATTTGGTAGTCTTACACAATGTCTGAAGGATCTTCCTGTTCTTTCTTCGAGATCAAGATGACTTTGAGAATTCATAAAGCAAATATTTATGAACTTGGCGTAACATTTATAACATCTAATAGTCCATGCTTATTTCCAATAGAAAATAATCACGATATTCATAACGATGTCTAAAAAAGTTGCTTTTTTGTCCATTGTACATGCCTCTCTAAACAATTCAAGTAGTATCTATAGTATCTAAGTATAGACACTTTTTCAGATTCCTAGTGTCGATGATTCCTTGTTTTCTTTAATCAGAAATCAACAGGTTACTCTCGTATTACATAAATCATTAGAAGAAGTTCCATTGTATATAGTGCATTGTTCTTGCATCTTTTTCTACTTAATTTATGTCCTCGTTTGAGTTCCAAAGGTCAAACCGACGTACAAAACTTGTGCATCATTCGCATTATAAATGAACATGGGCAAAGTAGTCATTCGCAAAAATAGAAAATTAAATTGGGGAATGATGTGTCCTAACAGGTATCGATACAAACGTAGGTATATTATATTTTGAAAGTTGCACAAGCGATTTAAATATTTCCGTTAGAGGGCGGTACACGGCAGAGAACCGAAAGACAGAATCGAACGAAGGGAGCGCTGCTAGTAAAACCGGTCGACGTGTTCTTGACACGAGACTTTCAACGAAAAAATGATGGTATTTTCAAAGAACATTAGCAAGAAAATCATCGAAACGTTCAACGGTCCGGAACCATGAAAAATTGAAAGCTTACCTGTTCGTGTTTTTGCGTAGAATACATAATCAGGTTTAAACTGTAACAGTCGTATCCAACCTCTAATCGACAGGGTGCAGGTTCAAGGTTTCAATTTTCAGAAGAATATCACTTGTCGCTTCATCATAATTCTACGTTCACTTTCACAACGTTATCACCTTCCAAGTTTTCCCTTTGCGAGCAAGGAGAACGGTTTCTCAAACACTGTTTTAACATATTTAAAAAGGAAATTGTCAGTACCGAACTAGTCGCATGGTATGGCGACCGCGGTTACAACTCGATATACACAGCGGTTTGAACGATACGTCACATCCTTGGCGTGTAACACGATTGGCTGATTTCAAATGAGACGACCAATCGCAAGGAAGATTTTCTTACTGCGCGGGAAAGGAAGTGGACTCCGCTGTGGGCATCAAAAGTACGTTTAAATATCCTGTACGATTTTTTCTTCGTCGATATATATGCGACAAAAAATTGGGCAAAATTTTTTATAAAAATGACAGATCTTTAAAACATAATTATTGTATGAATATAATTTAACTATAAATAATAATACCTACCGTTAATAATACCTATTTGCAGTATGTTGCCTAAATAAATTAAATTGGCCATACACGATAAATTATTACGAAATAAGACATTTAGACATTTGTTAAAACAATATCGATAGTAGCTCTAGTAGCGTTACCTAGCGCCGAAAATGAAAATTATTTCTCTACAAACTTCGTGCCTTATTTTTCGTAGAGATTCCTACATATTAATCCTTTTTAGTATTGAATTTGTATTTATTAGTTTATAAAATTTATTTTTCGTAGTGGGCAAAATTCAATACTTCATCTTAGACATCACAGTTTTACGATGACAAACCTAGTGATATTCTACGATTATGAAAATGGCCCTAAAGGTCTGTTTCCAATGTCACAAAATTTGTCAACATGAAAACTATACTAATCTCATATATTCTATAATCTCAGTAAAATTAATTAAAGCGTTAAAATTGAACGAATAAGAGTAACATTTAAATTAAATTATACGCAGAAAATAATAATAATATTAATTAAAATAATAAAAAAAATAATGATTGATTAATTATTATTTTAATGATTATTATTATTACCATTATCATAAAAATTCAGAGATACTATTACGAACTTTATTACATGCATATATGATCCAGAAAAATTGAAAATAGTAATCTAGTAACAAGTGTCCTCTCGGTCCTTTTCCGAAAATGTACAATCATGTACAATTTTAATCCAGTATATTTATAATACACGTTAGAAACAATTTCTATTTATAGATTCGTTTTTAACAAATCCACCATGTACGTAAACAATTTTTCTATCTGTATGTAAAACGATCCTTGAATATTTATTAACTCTAATAAAAATGCAAACCCAGAGGGAGTCACCTGTCCAGTGAATACTGAATACTTTGAAAGTTTTGAGGTTATATCTAATTTCTGCAAGGACAACATTCGTCGCGTTATCGTGATAGAGTAATATTCGCGTAAAATACTGTCCCATTCATCGAACCAGAGATAGAGCTGTTGCGTTAATTATGTGAGCAGTGAAAGCTCGCGGGTTAATTCTATGTCGATGTCATGTCGGCTCCAAATAACGTTGAAACAATGCGGGCGCACAGGTTGGCCTATCTGGCCGTCTGACAAATATGAATTTGTGACATAATCTCGTAATTTTTGTAATCGAACATGGTCAAAGAAAAACCAAATTCAATCCGTATTTACGATTCGGAAGGGTATAGACGTAGAGCAGCATGTATCTGCGTCAAAAACGATCTTGAAGATGAGGTAAGCCAGCAGATGGCAGTTGATATTTTTTTCTTCGTTATCCTTCTATCTGATACTTCAAAGCTACCTTATTTTCTCAAATACAATGAATTAAATACACGTTAGATATTTTTTGTAATTTATGACATCGCAGGTACTTTTGGTTACATCGAGTAGAAGACCGGACAGTTGGATAGTACCCGGTGGAGGTGTCGAGCCGGAGGAGGAACCTGCCGTGACTGCACTGCGAGAAGTCAGAGAGGAAGCTGGAGTTTTGGGACAGTTGGGTCGGTGTCTAGGCATATTCGAGGTAAAGAAATATTTATGGATATTTCGTTGGCATTAATAAAATAGAGGCGTAAGTAATAAGTATGAGATTAATGCAAGTTATAAGAGTAATTTTTCTTTATAGAATGTAGAACACAAACATAGAACACAAGTGTGGGTTATGCGGGTAACCGAAGAGCTACCAGAATGGGAAGATTCACGTGCTATCGGTCGAAAGCGAAAGTGGTTCTCTATACCAGAGGCCTTGCTTCAGCTTGCTCAGCACAAACCCGTCCAGCGTTCTTATATACACAGCCTCCACAATACTAATCCTCGAAACAATCCCAATATCTCGCCACCTCACCATTCGCATACCACTGTGACATCCATTCAATTAATGAATAATTCTAGTAACAATCCCCATCTTAACAAACACAGCTAATATTAAATACCATCCATTTGCGTGAACAATTGCCATCGAATGTTGAATATTCGTTGCTGCTCCTTTTCCTTTCTTCGATTACAGTGGCCGCTGCAATTGTATTTTGTACGTAAAAGGACACAAAGCATGTATCTTCTCCTTTTCTCTGGTTTTCTTTCCCTCTTCTGTTATTAGCGGCAAAATTTCTACGGATCATGTTACTACGATTACTATTACTATTACATGATTATTACTACTATTACTAATTACTATGCCATTAATATTGCTACTCTACTATTACTACTACTATTATTACCACCAACACTGTTATTACTATTATCACAATTGCTATCGTTATCTTCGTCATTGTCATTACTGTTACATTTGTTTGTATAAATTACTTAATAAACTGGTCCACGGAGGAGCAGTTTTTCCAGCTTGATTCTTATTTTTGTCATGATTTTACTGGAGAAGCAAGTAAATAAGTACATAATTTTTATACGTTAAGTGGATGGTATTTCATGCAAAAAGATTCCAGAATTAGATTACCTCATGTTGTTTGCATATACTCAGATAATGTTACAAATGTCATAACAAAACATATCTATACCTCATGAGTTTGTTTCTTTCGAACAAGGTTTTTAATGTTTGTTTCAGTAATCGTTATAACTTTTTGCATACTACGAGTCGGTATGTAGTTTACAGACTGAATTGTTTAATAAATTGTAGTAGGAATTGTTTAGAATATACATTTCGAAAAAGGCAACAAATTTTCTCTTTATAAATTACACAAAACGAAACATTAATACAAATATTATTTAATGTAAAGTGAAATATAGGTACGTGGCTACATGATCACTTTTGTAGACTACATTTTTTGTAATTATGTATTTAAATTTTCTACGGCTTCTCGAGTGTCGTTAGTTGAGTATTGTAATTTCTTTTTTATTATTGTTATTCATTTGTATTACTTCAAATTGAAATTATTTGATTTCGCACAACAAGTTGCCAATAAAGTACAATGAAAATAAAGGTGATAAACGTTTAGTGGAATGGGGTAATGAAACACTCTTGGTGTATGTGTATGTGTGTGTTGTGTATAGGCAGGTAATTAAAGTACTGTCGTGTCCACGTGCTTCGGGTCTTTACTAGAAGGTAATCCTTAAAACATTTTCTGTTGCAACAATAAATTTCTTAATTTATAAAAATAATCTTTCATGTATAGATGTTGATTTACATATAATTTATCAAGAGTTTCATCTTCTTTCGTATTATACGATTAAATGAAATTTGAGGTTAGGTTATTGAATTTTCAAAATTTCAAACATTTCTTGCGATAATAAGAAATTTCTTCATTTTTTAAATTAACCTTTTACATGTATGGATATTACTTTACGTACATTCTATAAAATGATTAATTTTTGTAATATTAAACAATTGTACATATGTATATAAGGTTAGGTTATCAACCTATAATATATAAATTTAGTATTACTAAAATTTTGTTTTCTTGCTATTGCAACTTTTCTCATTTCTAATTATAGATGTATCTTTACTGAGATGACTATCTTTTACAAAGAAATTCCTAAAAAAATGGAGTACGAAGTAATGGATGGAATCGTTAGCGAAGATACCGCTGAAAACAGCAGTGACAGCAATGAAGATTCCGCAAACAGTGATATCGAAGAGAACGAGGATCAAGATGATCAATCCAAAGTGTATCTCCCTGGAAATCCTTTAGGAAACGATGAAGAGCTTGTCGTTGATAAAACGGCGTACCGAATGTTACATCATGCGCAATCCGGAGCACCTTGCCTTAGTTTCGATATCATTCCGGATAATTTAGGAAATAACAGAGAAGATTATCCTTTGAGTATGTATCTTGTTGCTGGAACTCAGGCTGCAAAGACACATGTTAACAATCTCCTCGTTATGAAAATGAAAAATCTTCACTCTACGAAAGATGATTCTGAAGATGAGTCTGACAGTGACGAATCGGATAGCGAAAGTAAAGAAAGCAGTCCAGTCATGACTGTTGCACCGATAAAGCATCAGGGGTGTATTAATAGAGTAAGGTGAGCACATGAATATTTTTATTAAACAACATCAACGTTAGATTCATCTTTTTATTGTTTATTGAAATATGTTTATGTGCACCAACAGGTACACAAAAATTGGTGAAACACCATTAGTTGCAAGCTGGAGCGAATTGGGTCGCGTACATATTTGGAATTTAGAGGAACAATTAAAAGTACTTGATAACAATGAGCTGCTCCATGCATATCGTAAAAAGTGTGAAAAAAACGATGGAGGCGTTAAACCATTATTTACTTTCAAAGGACACCTTTCAGAAGGGTACAGCATTGACTGGTGTCCAACAGAAGTGGGTACACTAGCTTCTGGTGACTGCAAGGGTAACATTCATATATGGCGCATAGGAGACAATAATGGCTGTGCCACATGGCATGTAGACCAAAGACCATATAATTCCCATACACCGCACAGTGTGGAAGACCTTCAGTGGTCTCCTAATGAAAGACATGTACTAGCTTCATGTTCTGTTGATAAAAGGTATTTTAATATTTTTTTTTTACTTTAAATTAGAAATGGAGAATTATTTTTATAATAATAATAATAATGTATAATAAATAGAATAATAGTGTAAGTAGTCTCTTCTTTTGTTATCAATTTCTTTAGCAATATTGTAATTTTGATAGCATAAAAATCTGGGATACAAGGGAAAGTCCACACTCTGCCTGCAAGTTAACAGCAATTGGCACACACACTGCTGACATCAATGTGATTTCATGGAATCGAAAAGAAAATCAATTCCTCGTATCTGGAGGTGACGATGGTTTGATTTGTATATGGGACTTGCGTCAATTTAGTTCTAATGGCGCGAGTCCATTGGCTGTATTCAAGCAACACACTGCTCCTGTTACAACGGTGGAATGGCATCCTCAAGAAGCTACAGTTTTCGCTTCAGGCGGAGCTGACGATCAGATTGCTCAATGGGACTTGTCTGTAGAAACTGATCAGTCGGAGGAGATGAAAAATAGCGAGCTGAAAGACTTACCTCCGCAATTGTTATTTATACATCAAGGTCAAACGGATATTAAAGAATTACATTGGCATCCTCAGTGTTCAGGTGTTGTAATATCAACAGCGCACTCAGGATTTAATATATTTCGTACGATTAGTGTATGATAAACTCGACCATTTACTAATACATATAATGTTTGTAAAATAATGTTTGTCGATTAAACATTTTTTTTTTTATCTTTTGTTGAAGTAGACATTATTTCAATATATTGTTTAAACATTTATTTGCATTTACATATACAGGGTGTCCCGTAATTGGTGGTAGAAGCGAGTAAGAGGTGATTCTACGCTAATTATAAATATATAAAAATATAAGCATTTTTCAAGACAAATTCAAAAATTTTGTAAATATTGTGTATTGTTGCTGCTAGATGGCACCACTAACTATTTGTAGGTAAGCTGTAATGATAACAGATGTCTTATAGTTGGTCTACCGTGGGGGCAACTCCAAGGATTTTCCATTTGCGCCATTTGTATAATTAATTTTTGCATTTCGTTATTGTTGAGAACCGTACCAATCATAACAGCACTGCGACAAGCTCTGGATGCTAACATTTGACTCACTCGACTTGGACGGAATATATGTTTTTCTTTATTTTCTACCCCACCTTCCCTGATAAGAAAAATTAATTCTTCTATGTCTTCTTGTCCAAATTGCCAGTATCCGCTAACTGGTATACCCGTCAAGTTAACACGATGACCAGAATCAGCTGAAACGTAAAGTTTTCAGAGTTACAGTATCTTTATTTGCATCTCAATAATAATTTACCCATTCAAAGAAACTTGGTTTAAGACCAAAGTTTACCTTCAGAATTGATTTCGAAAGAAAAACCATTATCTTCGAATGTTTTCTGATGTTCAATTAATATCGTTTCATTTAATGAAGAAAGATTCAAACATTTAGGAATTATTAATTTCTGAGTTTTTAACTGCGTCTCGTTATTAAGTTTTTCAAAACGATACTTTTCATCTGTAGCATGTTGGTCGATGATGAACAGATCCTCTTTTAAACGAGCTATTATAAAACCACGATTAAACTGACCTATGATCTCCATCTGTAACGAATTTATTTTCTTCCTTAATGCTACAATTATTTTCAATTATTACAAAGAATCATAAATGCAATTTAAAACATGCATTACCTTAAGAAACGATTCCTTTGTTAATTCCCGTTTTAGTTCCTTTTCTGCGTTAGAATTTTGATTTGATTCCATCTGTGCTTTATATTTAATTCTCGTGTCTGTAGATGTACGCTTCGACATATTTTGTCTTTCTTGAAATTTCTGTTTAATCGTTGAAATACTAATTTGCATTTCTGCGCTGTCTAATATTTTTATCTGATTTATCGTATCACCTTCTATTCCATTGTCATCGTATTGTATACACTTTTTATTTACATGTTCTGTTTGTGGCAAAGCATGTAAATTCTGTAATCTTTTCGCTGGAGGGTCTAATTTCGTAGGGGAAGTTTTCCTTTTCAGTCCAAAGTTTAATTCGGATATAGGCTTAATCGTTAAACTTCCTTGCAATTGATTCCATTTTGTTACTAAACTAAATTTTAGAGTAGCTAATATTAAGCGTTCTTGTACACAAAAGATGGTTCTTTTATCAGGAGTCACATTAATATCAGCCGACTGTTTGTTCAATTTTAAATTTAAAAAAACAAACGGGTACTGTTTGTTATTGTACTTATGATAAGTATGATTTATTAATTTATTAATTTTTACGAGATCACATGGTCGACTATTTACATAGAAAAATTGTCTGTCTGGAGCAGAACGTCCAACATCGTGATCACAGCTACTTATATAGCAATTCCATTCAAAATCCACAACTATATCATTTGGCAAGTTATATTCTTGCTTTGTTGCTTCATCAGGAGGTAGCAATTCGAGTTCAAAGAGTCCATCGGTAGACTTTTTACCAAATATTTTATTAATATTACTCAAAACATTACTGGAACTCGCAGTACTGACTACAAGATTGGAAGATTTACCAGATATTGTATTTGAACATGTTATCTTTGTATCAACAGAAACTAAACAATAACTATACAGTATATGAATAGCGCGAGAGTACTCTTTCTTCACATTCTTTTCAAATTCTTTTGCTCTCACTGGAAGACATTTGAAAAGGTCCTTAACATGTACAGTTGTCCCTATTTCTCTTGCGTATGCTTCTTTCATTCGTAGAATACCATCGTGATCAAATTCCAACTTGAAACCATGTTCACTGGTGCAATGTCTTGTGATAATGCTTACTTCTGCTAAAGAACAAAGCGAACTAAGTGCTTCTCCGCGAAATCCAAAGGTCTTAACTTCCATTAAATCTGAGAATTCTCTAAGTTTAGATGTATGATGCTTCAGACCTAATTAACAGAAGCAGAATGTGTAGAATTTTATGCTTTTATTCTGTAAAATTTAAATTTTTCTAAGGTGAAGTGTATAGTGGTATAATTACAATGTACCTAATCCTTCAAAATCTTGTTCTAAAACACCACTTCCATTATCACTAACGCTGATGCAAGTTTTACCATAGTCCTTCAACTTAATGTCGATTAACGAGGCACCGCTATCTAAACTGTTTTCTACCAGCTCTTTTATAGCTGTTGCAAGATTCAGAACCACCTAATAAAAATGTTTAATATTAATATTGTTACAAACTGATAATTTTACAAAAATAGTGTAGCAGTGTAATAGTGTTCCAGTTTTCTTACATGGCACAATGACAAGATAAAATATTAAAATATTTATCATCTCACCTGACCAGAACATATCTGATGGATAGTTTGTTTATTTATTGCATTAATTTTCTTAGATTTTTCCGTTGTTGGAATTGGTTCTGTCATTCTTAATATTTCATAGTTACAGAATATATCGATTTTATATTTGTATGTATCTCAATACAAATATATTTTTATCATAAGCATTCCTTTGAAAAAGGTTGGATTTCATTCGATAATTTAAATGAAATTTATAAACAATACTGTCTCACAATTTTAGTACCAGTGGCGCCATCGGTGTGAAAACGCCAAAGTTTTTAGTGGAAATAGTTCCCACTATTGCTGTAAGACGGCGCAACCGATACTTTCCAATCCATTTTTTATTTTTCATAAGTGCATAATTAATACGATTCTTTGCCTTATAACATAACAATATATTAGTTAGTATATGAAATTTATCAGTTTTATGAATAGTTATTTAATTAACTAGTAATTATCAACCCTTTCAGCGCCATCGACGATGAAACGATCACGTTTTTAGATGAATAGTTTCCACTCTTTCTCAAACAATGTGGTTTCATTTTTTTTTATATATTTCGCACAATGGATCACGTACGAAACCGCAATATGTAAAATAGATGATAGTATTACAGAAGAATTTCTGTCTGTATCACCTTCATTTTAGTAATAGAAAATGTGCCAACGAACAATAGATAAAATATAGACACAATAAGAGATGCATATCACAATAAAAGAAAGTAATAAACTGTACAAAAGAAAATTGAAAAAACTAGAAAATGTTAAAAAAAAAATATATAAAATAATATAAAAAAAAAATAATGGCAAAGGACAAACCCCACAGACATAGTCTGTGGGTATTATTCCCCAGTTGTCGCCATCCCTGGTGGGGATCGAACCCACGACCTTTGGATTAGAAGTCCAACGCGCTATCCTCTGCGCCACAGGGACTTGGTGTTATACATTTTCTTATATTGTTATATATACCTACAGAGTAATATCTTTTCCCATAGATGTCGCCAATATACCTAACAATTTGTAAATCAGTAACGTATAAAATAAAGATAAACCAATTATAACTTGTAACCAAAACCACACAAATTTCTGATGCATTTACAAGGAAACATTTGATAACATTCGTCGTAAATATTATTCGAACAATAAATATGTAGTTTTAAGAATCACGATCATAGTTCGATAGTTCGTTTTGTAACTTTTCTTTAGCTACCCGAGTTACTTGAGTTACTTTATTTTCGAATCCTGAATTCGTGGACTCGGTAAATATATCGAAAATATGTCTTATCGTTGAAAATGCAGAAAATACTTGAGAATGTTTAATACTTGAAGCAGAAGTTAAACGTCGATCGAATGAATATTTTCTAATCGTCTCGTTTAAAGATACGAAACATCGAGAACGCGATAAAAATTCACACGGCGTAAAAAGGTGAAAACGTTAAGATAGTTTTTGTATCGAAAAACGTCGATCGTTAGATCATATCTAACAATCGTACAGCCCTGTGTGGCAAGTGGCAACCCATAGTCAACACAACCACCTCGGAAACAGTTGCGTGTGCTGGGGTACGGATACGATGTCTAAAACATTTCGTATTGGCATTTCGCTCTGTTAAGCTTTTACTTGACATAAACAATAATGGATCGAACAATAAACCGTTGAGTTGTATCCGTAGGCTATTGTTAAAACAGACTTGGACAAACCATGGCGAGAGATTTGCTGGAATAAAGAGGTACATAAAAAGCGAAGAAAAAGAAAAGCGTACATATAGACGTATATATAAGTGTAGTTTTGTGTTTTGGCCGTGTACGATAGTATTCGACGATAAGGACAGAGAGGAAAAAGGAAGAGGAGGTGAAACGTTGGATGAAGGAGAAGAAGGGGCTAAAAAAGATGGCCGTCAGGAAACATATGACAAGGAACGGCGGGCAACCGCCACAAAAAGGATTTTTCGCGGATGGTGTTTTGCGACATCGTTGATCCCGATTGTGCTCGTGGTGGTGCGTTGTTTTGTTAAACAGAGGGATCGTGGCTGGAAAAGTCAGTGATCCTGTGAGCAAAGGAGCCATGACTACGCGTAGAGAATGGGCTCGATCGCATCGGTGCTGCAATGGCATTGCTCGGAGTGCGCTCTGATAAATCCAACGGAGAGCACGCGATGCGCCAGATGCGGCCTTACTCGACTCACCAGTGATGAGAAGGCGAACATCAGGCTCAATCTGAGCTACGAATGCGAAGAACAAGTGGAACAAAAGGGTCAAGGGAAAGGGGAAACGGACAGAGACCAGAAGGAGGAGAATAAGAATTCTTTCTCCCTTGGGGTCTCGTCAGCACCTCCGACGAGGTTTCCTTTGCAAAACCCGCCAACGGATGGAACACATTCGACGACTTATCGACACGTCAAGAACAATCTCGTATATCGGTGAGAGCTAATTCTTACTCATCCCTCTCCGCTCCGTACCATTTACGTCCCCCTCCTACTACCACTTACCTCCCCTCTCCTTACTTTTACTTCTACATCTATTTGTATACAAGCTGTCAAAATCGAATTTCTTTGGTAAATTTGATTCTTATTCCACAACTAACTGCCGTATTTCAATACTTTGCAAGTTTTCTTGCTTCACAACTTTATATTTACCATTAATCAGCATGAATGATATAAAGTAGTTGGACTCTAATGTTACTTACAAGTTTCAAACAAAACTTATAATTAATTTTTTATGTACTTCAATATTTGGAGAATGTTACTTGTTACAATGTTTACTTTGCAAATGACAGTTTTCAAACTTCCATTTTATCAGGTGAAATATTTTTTCATTTAATAGAAGAAAGTGTCTTTCTTACTTTCTTGTATATTATTATTCACTTTTTTTGTCGACTTCCAGCTTCGAGGAGAATTTAATTATACCCAATAATCATACAAGGAAATTGCATTATGATTCCTGGAATGGAAGGCCGTACGAGAGGGAGCCGATCAAACGATCTTCTTCTTTACCTTCCCTAGTAACACAATGGACATGCGTTCGTTGCTTGTTAAACAACAGTTGCAGTTCAGCTTTGACTTGTGCAGCTTGCGATGCTAACTCGTCGATATTCGAAACCGACAAGAGGCAATTTGGAGCGCGTAAAAGCAAAAAGCTAAATTTGCGTAAAACGAGCAGGCTGAAAGTGGCATCCGAACTTTTGGCCAACATTTTAAATGGTTCTAACGCGACAAATATTTTTACAAGCGATACAAGGATTATGAGTAAGGGTACATACTATTTAAACATTTATTAGCAACTAATTAATAAATAATTCAACTGTTATTTAAGATTATAATATTTTCGATTTTGCAGATATGGCACAGTTAACGAGTATAAGTCGTAGCGATACAAGACAAGTCGATAGAGAAAATTGGACATTATCACCCATAGAAACTATGGAATCTAGTACATTTTCTTACACAAATACTAACGATACCTCTCAACGTTCACCAAAAAGACATAGTCCTTCAATATACGAGCGAGTCAAGTCTAAAGTTAGTCGCTCCTTATCTAATGGCTCTGTTGTACATAAGTTATCCGATCACGCTATTCAAAGACCAACGAGTCTAGTAGTCACAGAAGCGCGAGAAGACGATGCTCTTTGGAGCTGTGACAATTGCACACTCGACAACGCTCCTGGCCTAGAACAATGCGAGGCGTGCGAAGCTCCTAGGAGTCCAGCTCCTTGCAGCGGTGTAGTCATCAGCGTACCTGCTTGGGAACCTCGCGCTTTGTCTTCTGCAGGTCCACTGTCTTACAGGCGATCGTTTAGCGATGTCGAGTCTGTCGGGAACGTGTCTCAGAAGAAAATCGCGAATCGTAGAAGTTTCAACGAGGACGAGCCACCCGCGGTGCCGCCGCATTCCGTTGGATTTAACGCGAGATCAAAATACTCTTACATTGGAATTACAGACCCTGATATACCGCCACCATTGCCAAAAAAACAGAACAATAAATTAGGTCTCGTTCCCGTAAAAGCGCATAGCGAGGCGACGAGTCCTGTCGGTGATGTATCGAACGTGAGCTCCCTGAAACGTATGTGGACTTGTCAGAAGTGTTCGTACGCGTATAATCCAGTATGGTCGACAGGTTGCGATATTTGTGGATCTTTTCGATCGCCTCCTTCGCTGACGCAACCCAACTTGATTACAATCGCTAAAGATACGACGAGCTGTTCCATGCACACGCATGCACAGTCTCCAATCGTAGTTTCTAGAGATAGCGTAAGGTATATTCCACAGAAAACTGCTACATTGGCCACAGCAGAATCTGATCTAGAAGATCAGATCGATACACCATCTTTGGCATGGACCTGTAAGAAATGCACGTTGTTGAACGCTGCTTCGAGAGCAACGTGCGAAGCCTGCGGTGGTTCGAAACTGAAGAGTATCATGCATTTAGAAGACGCTACGCTAAGGAAAGGAGAGAGCTGGGTGTGCACGTCGTGTACGTTGAGGAATCCGCTGTCAGCACAAACTTGCAATGCCTGCAAGACGTTAGCAGATTTTTTAGATGTACCAAAAGACGCACCGAGAGTTTTTGGATCAAGAAGTCCGAGTCCGAGACTCTGCGCAACTGCTATTAACGCGAAAGTTGTAACTCCGAGACACAGAAATTCTGTGAGAAGGAATGGTTCATCGGTTGGCGAGCGGAAACATTCCAGAGTTAAGGATTCTACTCACGGTCAATGGCAGTGTAAATTGTGCACATATGAAAATAAGAGTACAAATGGAGTTTGTGAAATGTGCCAAATCTCGAAAACCTTATCTCAAGTATCATGTGAGAGGCCTAGAATCATTGAATCTGGCACGAGCACCCTCACAATACAGAGACAGGAGAGCGTGGTTATGGAAAATTTGAGGCAAATCGAAGAAAGAGAAGCATTGGAAAAGTGGGAACGAATTGTACGTTACTGCAAAGAGACAAACGAACCTTTCGTCGACGACTCTTTTCCACCAGCTCCGAAGTCATTGTATTATAATCCAGCGGAAACAAAAGATAACCACGTTGTTCAGTGGAAAAGGCCTCATCAAATCAACGTTGATTCCAGTGTTGATTCCAAACTGCCTTGGGCTGTTTTTAGAACACCCTTACCCTCTGACATCTCTCAAGGTGTATTAGGGAACTGTTGGTTACTTTCAGCTTTAGCTGTTTTAGCTGAAAGCGATGAACTCGTGAAAAGAGTTTTAGTGATGAGGGAAACCTGCCCAGAAGGAGCTTATCAAGTAAGATTGTGCAAGGATGGAAAATGGACCACTGTACTCGTCGACGACTTGCTACCCTGTGATAAAAGAGGCCACCTAGTGTATTCTCAGGTTGATATGTTAACAATATAGAAATAGAATATCTACTTTTAATATAATTTGATATTTATCCAACATACTTAACATTTTTTATTTTTATTGATAAATTCGATGAAATGCGTTATAGGCGAAAAGAAAACAACTTTGGGTGCCATTGATTGAAAAGGCAGTGGCAAAAATTCATGGTTGTTATGAAGCGTTAGTCTCTGGTCGTGCTATAGAAGGTTTGGCAACGCTAACGGGTGCCCCTTGCGAGAGCGTGCCATTGCAACCGTCTGCTTTGCCAAGCGAAGACGAGCTTGATAAGGATTTAATATGGGCACAACTGTTATCTTCTAGACAAGCTATGTTTTTAATGGGTGCTAGTTGTGGCGGTGGCAATATGAAGGTCGATGAAGAAGAATATCAACGTAAAGGTTTGAGACCAAGGTAAAGTTCAGCCAGTTCTGGCTTGTTCCAATTTCAACTAGATATCTTTAGTTTTTCGTGATACATAACTTAGCATTTTTTGTTAGGCATGCATACTCTGTTCTCGATGTGCGAGATGTGCAGGTAAGAATGAGGAAGTATTTATATATTTGTAATTATCGTTGTAACTACGTGTCTTTAGGAGAGATTCCAGCGATCAATTAGCTAATTCTTCCTTTTCTACGTATTTAATCAGATTTTTTGATTGTAATATGTGTTATAGGGAATACGATTGTTGAGGCTGCGTAACCCTTGGGGTCATTACAGTTGGAAGGGTGATTGGTCCGATGATAGTCCTATATGGACTCCCCAGTTGAGAGAAATGCTTATGCCGCACGGTGCATCCGATGGTGTTTTCTGGATTTCCTTCGATGATGTATTGAAATACTTTGATTGCATTGATATTTGTAAAACTAGAGTTGGCTGGAGCGAAGTCAGATTACGTGGAACACTTCCTCCTTTGTCCTCTCTCAGACATCTATCATGCGTGCTTTTGACAGTACTGGAACCCACTGAAACGGAATTTACGTTGTTCCAAGAAGGACAAAGGTGAATCTTATTAATTTCTGTAAAAATTGAATATACTTTACTTAGTTACCGCATATATGCACAATGCAAATGTTTCGTTAAAAATTGGTGAATATAATTATTGATATGTATCATATAATTATTATTGTTGAGCTATTATGTATTAACAATATTTATTCACTTGAAATCACTTTAATAATTTTGTTACGTCAGAGGTGAGCTCATAGTCGAAAGGATTAAACAATATTCGAAAAGGAACAAAAGGAAACAAAATTTGTAAAAAAACGTTTAGTTTAGCACAAAGTCAGATTCTGAATTTATATTATGTTTTTATACGTATTTAGGAATTCTGAGAAATCACAGCGGTCTCAGTTGGACTTGTGCGTAGTTGTTTTTCGTACGCGTTCTCCAGCAGCACCGGAAGTGGGAAGATTGGTAGAGCATAGTAAACGACAAGTTCGTGGATTCGTTGGATGTCACAAAATGCTAGAAAGAGATTTATACATCGTCGTGTGTTTGGCTTTCAATCACTGGCACACAGGAATGGAAGACACTTCTAGTTATCCTGAATACGTTCTCGCCATTCATAGCTCGAAGAGACTTTTAGTCGAACAAATTTCTCCGCCAGCATTCGTATTGGCTGATGCTATTATAAGTTTAACTTTAGCGAAAGGACAACGGCACGAAGTAAGAATCATATAATAGAATAGAAGAACAATTATTCTAATCGTATATTTACATAAATTTCTTTACTTTTGTAGGGAAGAGAAGGAATGACTGCTTATTACTTAACTAAAGGTTGGGCTGGACTCGTTGTCATGGTAGAGAATCGTCATGTAAATAAGTGGATTCATGTAAAATGTGACTGCCATGAAAGCTACAATGTTGTGTCTACGAGAGGACAGCTCAGAACTGCCGATAGCGTTCCCCCGCTTCACAGGTACTTCAAATTGCACTTTCTTCTCTTTTTTGTATAATTTTTAAGGATTACAAATCCATGACGGTTAATGCAATACATTAATTGTAGACAAGTAATCATAGTATTAACGCAATTGGAAGGTAGTGGAGGTTTCTCGATAGCACACCGACTTACGCACAGACTAGCTAACAGTGGAAACTTGCATGATTGGGGCCCACCGGATACTCAGCATTGTCCTCAAATCGACACTCAAGTCGAAGGTTTACACAGTCCTCGTTTAATCACATGAACAAATGAGTTTTACGTGCAATCGATTAAAAAATAGGAGAACGTGTAAAAGTAAGAGAGTCTATCTTATACTCGTGATATCCAGAAGTTTACTAAAACCAAAGCAAGCTAGGAAGATCTGAACGTAAGCAACGAATAACGAATGTTGCTGAAATCGTAACACACACTTTGTGCTTTCTAGCTGTTCGTGTATTGTATGAAAATTTTTAGCGTCGTGACGAGCTGACTATTGAACATAATACAATAATTAACGATTATTCTGAGGTCAGTGGTTATGATTCTGAGATCAGTGGTTAGAGATATTTTTTTTTAAATTAGGTAATAACGATTCGTTACGTCAATGGAAAGGGATACGTACTTTGAACGCTTCTGTGCAAATTGAGAATTTCCACGGGAACCATTGATCTATAAACAAGACTTAAGGGAAATTAAATATTTATGGAAGAACAAATTAAACACACTGCTTGTTATATAAAAAAATTATTTTCTCAACTTAACATATATGTAAGCACCGTAAGAGATAACAAAGCGTAAAGGTTATACAGTAACATGTAAAATGAAATAAGTAACAGCCATTCGTAATGTATGAAAAACATATACGCTCTTTTTGGAATTGCTTAGAATATAGTATAATTATGGATCAAAATGTTTTCGATTTTGCGACTCGTATGTCGACCCTATTTTAGAGTACGTAAGGCAACATTGGGAACCCACGTTTAATGCAAACATTGGCGTAAAAATAATTTCCTTTTTTTAGGTGTCGACTTTGAAATGTTATAACTCGACTCAGAATAAAGCGTAGAATAATAAATGTTTGTTATGAAAATCTAGAACGAAATCTGCGTTATTGTATAACACGATCACCATTATATATAGAAATTGATCAGTACAAAAAATGAAATTATTTTTCCACCAACCTAATAATATGTACACTGTAAAAGAAAATATTATTGGTGGTTTGAACGAGGGTTTCGAGTATTGGCCACGTATTACAAGATGTTTGTTTATGAAAATTTTGGTTGTTTCTATCTTGTAACTGGATAGAGTGCTTGTATTAAAGTGGACGTAGCACACTGCTACAGAACCAAAGATCTCTCTTGAAGGTTTTACGATATATTAACCTGTTCACTGCCATTCCATGCAATAGATTTATTTAATCCAATCGTTGTTATACATTTTTAGCTAACTGTTATCGAAATTGTAATCTCGCAGTTTATATTCGGTTTATTTATAATACATATCTTATCGTTCGCGTGCAAGCATGGCAGTCAATGGGTTGGTCAGTTTTATAAGTCTCTTGTACATTTTGTAATCATGACATCGGAACAGTTATTTACGAATAGAGCTCGATTTCGTTTTTATACGCTTAACAAATTTAATGCAATTTTAATTTTAACAGTTAAACTTTGATATTACATTCCCCTTTTTACATGACAAAGTTATTTTACACGAATGACATATATATATATATATAAATATAAATAATTTTTTTCTATTGTAAAATTATTTAAAAAAGTGTTACTGAAATTATTATATTGGCTTTTTACTTTAATATTAAGAACTTATGTAAAGAATCAGAATGAACTAAGCATCCTTGCCGTTATTATTAAACGCTGTTCCAAATAACACTTTTAAATATACTTATTACATGTATCGAATGCAACGTATATCAGTAAATATGAAATTCCTTTTATATGTACTACACAGAGCGTTAATAAAAATCGGGGAGACCTTTTTCAATGTTAATTTTACGAGTGCTACGAAAATGTTGTATAAACTTGTATCCATGGACACTTTGTTTTTGTGTTTTAGCAAATTTTGTTGTAGTTGGTTGATACTAAGTGGGCTCATGCCTACCTGGTTGTGTTTGGACTAGACTGCCTATTCTAATCCAACCTACTTCAGGCCTATCCAATATGGCCTAACCTGGGTCTAGCTAGCTATATAATCTTTGCAGAATTTTTATGTATTACGTTTTAAGCGAGAAAACCTTTTTTCTCTAAGGCTTGTGTAAATTAAATTTGACTTGATTTTGAATAAAATCGTTTGAGAAAAAAAAAACAGATATATTTAACAATTTATTCGTACTATGTACATATTACAAACGAGATCTCGATACAAATTTATACAAAATTTCTTCTACCTTCATTCATGTATGGTAGCCTAAGAAATATTCCTGATCTTTATTGATACACTGTATAGTATGTAAACATTTGTTTTCTACGGAATTCGATGTTATTAATGTTAAACTGTCTTTCCATGTTCTCGAATAGCAAGAAAATTGGAAAAAAAGCATTCTCTTGATTCTAGTCGAATTTATTTCAATTACTTTGTATACTTTCTGTATAGGGTGGGTAGGAAAACGTGGTACGATCGAATGGAGTATAATTCTACGTGTTGGAATAAAGTTAAATAAAATTAAATGGGTTTCTTTTGTAAGAAATTTAATAATAGTGGTATTCTGGTATCTAACAAAGTCTCTCATCCACCCTATATTCATTGAATGTGGTGATGCGACAATATTCGATGCTGTGATCTGCTATTGATGTTTTTTATGATTAAAATGTTAGGTGAAAAATATCCTCATGAATAAAAAAAGCAGTACACAAATATTATTTTAATAATAATACGAAGTATCTATTCGCTACAAATGCACTTATTTAATTCAAATGTAAGAGGAAAAGAAACAAACGTTATGCACATAAGTATTGTGAGACTTGTTACCATTAGCTCTCTTAATTAGGTCAGTTATGTATATTGAAAATACATTGCTTATACTTACTTATGTTTTCCCAATTACTCGATTTAAAACACTTGATATTCGTACCGACACTGGTTATTTTACGCTCTGTGTATTTTAATTCTGTACATTATTATACTGTGCAGATAACATATTGTTTTCTTGACATTTAAGTTTGACTATCATTTGAAGTGCAAGCTTTGCTTAACTTTTTCTTATGCAAAGTAATTAAAAAATAATATTATTTTTATTCATTGATTCAAAATAAACAGATCTAATTATTTGAATGTGGCCTAGCGATTATGAATTATTACTCTATGTTCAAGCTATTTTAATTACAAATATTTTTAAATCTCTAATATGCATTTTGCGATATTGCAAATTTTAGAAAATCAATTTTTCACAACTAAACGTTTCAAATAAAAGCTTTCATAAGTTGAGAACCAAATATTACAAAAGTACAGAATTTCTTTACTGGTAATGTATTTACTTTTACAATTTTTTTTTATAACATTTACAATTATGTATCTTGGTGAACAAGAAATAATTTAGTAAAAAAATTAAAATGAAATGAATATATCACAAAATTGTTTAAGGGACAATATATGTAATAAATATTGCTGTTTAATTATTACTATACTGTCTATTCAAACACGTAATTATTACTAGATCATTTACAGATTATACAGTGCACTGACTCTGTCAGGGTACAGTTACAGATCGGATCTAACGCCAAATCCAGGTTTTGGTGGCGGAGATGTTAACGACGTCAAACCACCAGCGGGATCTGCTGCGAATCTAGGTGAATTCTGTGGGCCTGGTGGTGGTCTTTCTCCTTTCTTTAACGCGTTTATTATAGTAGTAGCACTTTCAGGAGTCAAGTCTTCCTATAAGAAATACCAACAGTTAGTAAACACACTATAACCAAATAAAAACTTTACAGATCAACAATTATACTTACATAGTAGTCATCATTGACTTGAAACATTGGTGCATTAGCACAAGCACCAAGACATTCCACTTCAGATACTGTGAACAGCTTGTCTTCAGACATTTCTCCAATTTTGCAATTTGTAGCTTTAGTTACAGCATCCACTATAGAATCAGAGTCTCGCAACCAACATGGAGTACACGTACAGATTTGTACGTGGTACTTTCCCATTGGCCTTCTATTGAACATTGTATAAAATGTGGCTACTTCGTACACTCTCATATGCGGCACATTTAATATTTCAGCTACTTTGTGCATAGCAGAGATAGGTAGCCAACCGTGTTGACGTTGAGCTAAATCTAGCAAAGGTATCATTGCACCACGTTTATGCCCTTCTGGATAAATCTTTAGAAGAGCTTCAATACGTTTTTTATTTTCTTCATTGAATTCAAATGGTATTTTTGGGTTATCAACTTCACTGTCCCGATGCTGAAATTGAAAGTAGACATAGAAATTTCATAGACACAGTATGTGTTAGGATACATACGGTAAATAACTGATCAGATGTGCGAATAACCGAAGTCTTCAGGCCTCTAACATTTTTACAGTTCTGTAAAATAAAACTGAAATGTAATCGCTTAAAATACATGAAGTTTTCATACAATTTTATATGCTATTCTAATCATAAGCTGTTTCTTATTTAATGTATATAATACTAAACTATTTGACACATACTGTCATAATTTCTTGATACGTGTTTAATCGAATATACAAGCTGAGAGAAATAACAAAATGAATATGTTATCAGACATTCTCAACAATTCAATCTTAAAAATTATAAATTATACTTGAAATAAATAAATATAGAATAAATAACCGTTATATAAGATTACTCAAGAGGTTAATAATATTATGAGTTATAACATAATATAATTGGTAAATAACTCACGTATAACGCACAAATTGTGCGTAAAGAGCGAAACATGATTAGAAGATTCTCGTATATTAACTAAATAAATCCAATTGTCACTTCGCTTCTCCGATTTCTTATGTTTGGTTTAGTTTGGTTTGGTCTGGTTTGGTACTATTAAAGTCACTAGATGTTCTAAGTAGACGCTGTTGTGTTCCGCGATCAATGGTAGGGATTTATACGGAATTATATTTAGATTTATCACATATTTCGTATCGTCTGCTTTATTATAAATCTTTACGTGATGTATCATTACATTCACAAGTAATTTGTATAGTAATAATAAGCGCTTGCAACTATGTAGCTATCCATTAACATTGTTGCATACACGGGTGTAGACGCCTGCATCTATGCAGCCATCCACGCTAGCGTCTGCAGCTATGCAACCATCTATGCAAGCACCTGCGACTATGCAGCCATCCACGCAATCCGCCCCAACACTGTTGCATGCGTAGACGCCTGCAAAGGGTTTATTCAGTTTATTGATCAATTTTCAGCAAAGTTTGATTGACGGGGACGTGTTCCAAGGAAACATGACGACGGCCTTAAATCTTCCACGGTGAAACGAAAGGAGAAGGAACAACACGCGGTCGGTGAAAGGTCAATGGTTATATAGTAAATGACAACATTTCAGAGCGCATCCTGAATTTCTTACCGTTTAGTTAGGGAATACTGTTTTTAAAGGCGTACTTTATATATTTATACATAAAAACTATATGGTTACTTATAAAATGTCATATAATCTTAGAATCTCGATACAATTGTGTAAAAGAAATAATTTATTACTATTTATTTTTAAATCAATAATTTAATAGATACTAATATACTATTCTATATGTATATACAATTGAATTGAATAATATTAAATAGAACCTACGGTAAAAAGTTACTATGAGCACTGACGCTACAATAAATTATTGCCTATCGTAAAATATAATTGGGAGTTTCCTGCTTTTACTGAACATCTACTAGGGAAAACGTTGAGACAAAAATCGACTATTTTTATTTATTAAAAAAAAAAAAAAAATCAACAACGCACACATAGAAGGCTGAGAACCATAGCGATATATGCAAATAAAAAATACAAAGTTGAGCTACAGAAACGTCTCGCTGGGCTGCGAAATCATAGCGTAGTTTAATTTTATTTAATTCCATTGCTACGATTCTCGATCTTCCATACGACGGTACAATTAAATTAAAATATTCTCAGAATAAGCGTTAACTTAAATAATTGGCAAATGTAACCGAATAGTGCATTTTATATCGAACAAAAAGGAACGTCGATTATCCAAACGAGGACCTCCGATGTCAAGTGTAATATCGTCCCGCTATATTTACTTCTCGCAATTTTATCTACCTGGTTAAATAAATAATAGTTAGTAGAAGGCTTAGATTAAGTACAAACAAAAAGTCAAATCTGATGTTACAGAGAAACGGAATTTTTTTGAATCTTAAAATTGGTCTCGAGTCATTTTTCCCGAATAATACATAGATAGATACTGTTTAAAAGCCTTTGTATAAAAAGAAACTGTAGCTTCTAAAGGTTCTTGAATTTTTCTTTGAATTACTACTAACTTAATTCTTTCATACAAATACTTATTTTATTTGCGTACAGATATTTACGTAATAGTAGCAAATCAACCGATTGAATCTCTTCGACTGTATCCCACCAGACAAGAGATCACTGTATTTAATAAAACTAGGTATAAATTAATGGTCGCGTGACATTATTTGGCGCCCGAGAACGAAAACTCTCCAAACATAATATCACCCTTTTTCGAACAACCTAGTTCATCGTTTCGCGAAGAATTTACTTGGAATATTGGTTCGGATAACCGTCGTTTCATTTCACATCCCTGATTTCCATTATATCGCTAAAATTTGTCCACAAACCTTTCACATCTTACAAGTATTATAAACAATAAAATCTTAAATATTAAAATCTTAAATTTACCACCTATACTTGTTATATTTCCATGATCGTTTATTTTTCTTTTAGTTTAATTTCATCTCTTGGTCGTATCAACATTTCTCTAATCTTTCGTAGCGTCGATAAAATAATATATAATAACAAGCAAAGTAAATGTCGTCGTATACACGGGAATCGTTAACTTCTGTGTACAATTCAGAAGGGCTTCTTCGTTTCTTTCGAAGGACAATTCGAGGATGACGATTAGGTTGATTTCAAAAGAAAGACGGTGTCTCCAGGAAGCAATCTTTATCGACAAATGGGTAATCATACAAGAAATCATAAGAAAATACGTTGAAATCGATACAACAATTTTCGACTCGTTCTGGGTGATATATCGTACAAAAGAAAGAAACTGGAGTGAAACGTTTCAACGATTCTCGTATTAAAATGTCTTATATTCACGTATTTATCTTTATAAGTAGTTTCAAATATAAAAACTCATTCCTATATCAAACTGACAACTTTATTTCGTTCGTTTTCTGTACGATGACATGAAGTCTAAAATCAATCGCAACGTGTTCTTCGTAATTGTTTGTTGGCACACCGCGGGAGATACAACAGGTTTGCGATTTGACTCCTGATTCTAACTTCACCTTTGGATAGTAACAGTAATTTGAAAAGGTGAGCTCAGAATAAGAAGCGCATGAAAAACGTTTTGCGATATTAGTTTCTTCTCGCGAAAGTGGAAAGTTTGCGACGTTAAGTCTGGAAGAATAAGAACGAGGTGAGTTTCATTCGGTGATTTTCGGTTTGAGCGTGACAAATTTCGATTCTTGTTGGAAATGTCGAGGGAGTATTGCCGGAAATACAAGTTACGAATCTTTATAAATCAAACAGCGAATGGTTCTTTTCCATTGTTCGCTTTAATTAAACGGATGTCGTGTTATACACATTGCTAGTCGGGCGTACAATGTTTTTTTAAAGAAAGAACATCGCGACGATATACACTTTTTACATTTGACCTGCACCGTATACAAAAATATTTGCAAATATCGCATTCGTTTTATAAAGTTCGAATATCTTTGTAATGAAAATAAACGTGTAACAAAGAATGATGTTTTTATCAAAACTTTCTACACTTATCAAGAGAGTAAATTTTTAATCTTGCATCGTGTAGGTAACAAAATTGTAATCGTAATAAAAAAGCATGATGATATTTAGGTTTTTTTACATTCGTATACGTATCACCTCCCAGTAAAAATAAACTGCTACATTAATAAAATTGTAATCGTTAGCGATATGTTGTTAAAAGTTTGTCAAAATATTCAAAACAATTAAAATAAAAAGTTCTTCATAGTTTCCGCCGCTTTTACATTTCTATACTATTAAATAAACCGTGACTATAATCTGATAATAGATTAATCGTTTTCCAGTACTTTTACAAATAAAAATAACACACCTTTCGATGAGAAAAAATGATATTCTGTAAATCTCGACATATAATTGTGATATTGTCACTCTCAAAAATAACTAAAACACCTCGTTCTGGAAGTAACGCGATGGAATAGATTTTCGTGATGGAACAAGCCGAAAAGAACACGTGTTCCGTACCCCGTCATATTTTATAATTTATTTTATTCTTAATGTACTTATGACACGATCAAACTGAACAGGTGTTCTTCATCGTATGTCCGCTATAATAGAGAATGACTAGGCCATATGAATATAACTAAGGAATTCGTACTGTATCCTGGCACTATTTCCGAACAAAGTGCAAAGTGAAACCTATCTAACTTATCCAGACCGTCTTCTCCTCGATTACTTTCAGCACAATTGAATAAATATTGTACTTTTATACACCCGGTATCCTTTTGCGCCAAAAGAGGTCTGCTGAATTCAGTTAAAGTTTCCTACTTAAGTTTTGAAAACTTATCCCGAGATTTATTCATATGGCTCAATGTAATCAGTCCTGCAAACTTCATCTATTTTCAACCAATCTGATGTGTATTTTCAGTGATTATTTCTGAATATCTATGACTGTAACCGATGTTGCGAAAAATCAACTTTTAATTCTATTCTGGTTCCTCTCCGTCGCCATCTATAACAAAAATTAGTTGAATATTTAATTTTTTTCACTCCAACTGTTAGTATCAGTGTCAAAGCAAAATGAATAATTAAAAACAGAGATATAAGTACCTTCGCGATCCACTTCATCGTCGACTAACAGATCATCTTCTTCGTTTACTCCATCATCTTCGTCGTTCACAGCCTCTTCTTCTTCTTCGTCTTCATCCACATCGTCTTCGACCACAACTATACTATCATCTCCTTCTTCGCCCTCACCTGCTTCGTCGCCGTCATCCGCACCACCATCATCTTCTTCCTCCTCCTCTTCCGTGTCACAATCTTCGCCGTCTCCTTCGATTCCATTTTCAACATCCATATCTGGCGCCAAGTAATACTGAAGACAAAGTAATCACATTATGTTTCTTTCAATATATGGTTTGTATTAGCAAAAGTGTTACAGTTAACGCAATATAAGCATTTATGCTTACATGTACAAATAAAGGATCTTACCTGCAATGGATTAGGCCACATATCATCTTTAATTAACTCTGCTATTTCATCTGAACTGGGGTCTCCATGGTCCGTAAACCAGTCGAAGAATGATCTGTGTTTTAGCGGCCTTTTGCGTCCTTTCAACGGGGCTTTGGTTTTTGCTCTTTTCGTTAGATCGGCACCTTCTTTCCAACGGATAGGTGTACTTTGAGATGCTGGATCTCCTGCAAAAAAGCAGGAGATACATTAAAACTACGATTATTCTTCTTGATCGTTCTGTGACTTATAAACTAAGTACTGTTCCAAAAATATGTACTGGGAAGTATAATAAAAAAAACAAAATATTTTGATTTAGAAATGTGCTCACCAGAAGAACCTAAATGAAATTCCTTGGTAAGAACGTCGTTCTCGAAATACGGATTTGCATCAAAGTGGAAATTGATTCTATAACCAGATTTAATGTCTTCGAATTCTTCAACCTCTAATTTGTTTAAAAATCGAAGCACATCCTCTTCGTCTTCTTCTAATATTTCTGCTATTTCTTTATTGTTTACAAACTATGTACTGGATAAGAAAATTTACTATTTTCCATTATTTACAAGAAACATTGTAGTATCATAAAATTAGATGCAACTTATTACATTTTATAAATTGGAGCAGTTTTGCTGACTATCGTTCATCGATAAAGATAAATATTTGGAGATTTTAGAGGGGGATCTAATAAAATGCACTTGAAATATGTATTCAAAAAAGCTGTACTACTTGTAAGGTCAACCTAATATTTTAAGCAGCATTGTACTTTACATTAATACATACATTAATGCGTATATAATAAATGAATAAGTAACTCGAAACGCGATAAGAAGAAAGTTAAAGGAGTGACGATTCGTCAGATTGAAATAATAGAGGAAGGAATATTACGAAAAAGAAAAACAATTATGCTGTTCGAGTAACGTGCAATGCAAAATACAATAGTTGGTAAAAGCGGGTAATGTAAAAGAATAATGAAAGGCACGTAATAAGAGAATAATAAATGAAATTACGTTCGCTGTGTCGCTGGTGGAACCGCTCGAAGAAAGGATTGTTATGAAAATAAATGTGTATTATATTCCGCGTGACCGCATGTAGTTATACGTACTTCGTAACGTATACAAGTAGGCAAGATGGCGACTAGCGCCGGTGGACGCCGGTATCGCCAAGAAACGTCAAAGATATATCGGTAATTATTATCGCGCTAAATGATATGTCATCGTGCGAAAGGATACTGCGGTGACCCAAAAATTGGGTATCCTCTTGATAATGTCATTCCGTTTCTGGAAGTAGGGCTTACGCAACTTATTATACTTCTTCTCGACTTCGAGAATTTCATCGCTGGCTTTCTCATTGAGGCCATCGATTTGATTCTGACACCCGTCAATCTCCTCCAGCGTCTTCTGTATTTCAATGTCATAATCTCGCGACTCGACGCCCTCGCCTGAACCCGGATCCTCCAATTCCTTGGCTTTTTTATTCGGCGAAGACATCATTCGACCCGCGCTCTTGTCACCACTCCACTACTCTCTGTTTATTTTCAGTACGCACTCACTCCGCGTTCGTCACGCTCCTATCACTAATTTGCGGCGGGTAAGCGAGCTAAACCACAGAGTACTCTCGCAGAGAGGAAACTACGCTTTTCAGCTACCCGTTCCAAATGCGCAACCGTCGTTGGCCGCATCCACCCCGCGGACATAGGGACATAGGGATATATGGCTTCGAATAAATCTGAAGTTTGCCGATTTCTCGGTCTCGTTTCCTTCCTTGGAAAATGTTCAAAAGAGGAAACGAGACAAACATATCGGTAAACTTCAGATTTATTCGAAGCCTAGGGTTTTGCCTATGAAGCCAAGGAGGGAGGCCCGTCGGCCATCTTACGTTCTTCTATTACAGCGGGAACTTTAAATTGGACTATAACTGAAAATATGGTTATATGTTTGAAAAGAAATTTTTATAGTTTGTTACTTTCTGTAATCTATACCAATGGTTACAATGTATCTATGACCTTCTCTTTAAAAATTGTTCGAATAACTAAGTAACTAAAACATAATGTTTGCAATTCGCGCCTTATATTTCTATTCTCAGATGTGGATGGCGCGTAACAAATTTTCCATTATCTAGAGGACTTTCTATGTCAGCCACGCGACGTTATTACGGCTTGAAGTTGGCCAATCTTGCGTCTGGGTTAGGTCTGCGTAACATCGTCGCGTCGCGTAACCAGTCTGCATTATCTTGGTCTGCACGGTACCATAATCGGCGCGTATCGCTGGTCGTCTGACTTTTGCTTTTCTACAAATTTTCTTCAAAGGAACTCGTAACATCGTAATTGGGACTACTTTACATTATGGAGTGGTCCGACGACGCTACGTTACAATTTATCGAAATATATCGCGCCAACGAAATTTTATGGAACACCAAGCATCCCAGCTATTACAATAAAATGAAAAAGAACGATGTCTGGGACGAAATTGCTATGGAGTTTCATACAACAGCGGAAGAATGCAAGAAAAAAATGAATGCTCTGCGATCAGCCCTTAGAAGAGAGAGAGCGAAAATAAAAAAATGTCAGGGTACGAGGAAAGGTAAATGCAAAGAGGGGAATAGCGACCATTGTAATGCTTTTATGCTTCGGAGTAAATTGTATTTGCTAATTTAACGCTTGTAATTATATCGAGTGCAAAATAGAAATTGTTCATTTCTTGTTGTATATTGTAGGCAGGGATGATGTATACGAGAGTGGTTGGTATGCTTTCAAGAGCCTACTTTTTCTCTGGGACAAGAATAAAGTTCGATCGTCGCAAAGTACTGTAAGCGATACAAAGATGCTTTATTTACGCATAATTATCTTGCCACGAAATACGACCTTCGTTTCCAAAGAAATTAACCATGTCGTCTCTTTATTTATAATTGTTTTCGGGGAATATTATTAATGGGAAGTAACAAAGAAGTTTTTTTGTTTATTCGGTTCCCTTGGAAACAGATTTGTGATACCACTACTAGTGTTGCTTCCAGCTCTCGCATGCGCAGTGGAGAAAGCTGAGCGCGCAGTACTGTATGTATGGTACTGTAGCTATAGGAAACCATGCGTGGTTTCAATTCATTTGTACTTGTATTATATCATTCTTTAGGATGACTAAGGACGCCAGTTTTATTAAGCTCGTATTAGATATTCTTCTGACGGAAAAAACAGTGCGCATTAGAAGGGAATTAGAAGCAACACCAGCAAAGTGTGGTGAACAGGGTTGCCACTCGCCAGGGAAGGCTCACGCGTTCAACCAAGCGTGACGTCACAAATTGCTTTATCCTTGTCTTTCCTACGCACCACTCTCTTCTAACTTCCTCCTTTCGTAAGACTCCAGCCATTTCTCTCTGGCGTTGTTGGCACCTGTAAGTTACAGGCTGTAACAAAATTCCCATAATAAAAGAAACATTGACTACCGCCGATTTCCCTATGAATTTTGTTATAGATTCGCGAAGAGAAAATAGACATCCTAGATAACGATACGTCAACAGAGACACAAGCGATCTCAAAGGATATTCTATCTTCTCAAATTCAATCATCTACTAAGTTTAACATTAAAAGTAAATACGACGAAAGATTGGATGAAGTTTTTCAAATATTATCGAAAGCATCGAGAGTGGCTGAAGCGCATCACGAAGAAGATGAAAATCAAGTTTTTGGACAGTTGGTAGCCAAAAAGTTACAGAAATATTCTCCCGATGTCCAAACTGCGATTCAACGGGAAATAATGAATATTTTATTTAGAGCGGATATGGGCCTTTACAACGAAACTCCATCGTAACTACATATTTCGAGTTTCATTGTAGCAGTATTTTAATAATCCTAAACATTCAGTTCCCTCTCATGTTTACATCACTCGCCAAGCTCAGATTTATCAAGCCCATTTCACTTATAATCAGTCAGATCCACTTCAGAATTCGTCAGTGCCATGTCCAGTAAATTCTTATCAATTTAGTATCATTCTTCAATTTATGCAAGAACTACCATCATTCCACGTCATTCTTCTTTACCTGGTTCACTTCTTTCTTTAGCCATGTAGCAAGCAGATTAGTCAGATCTTGTATCATAACTTTGAAAATGTTGCCTTGAAAATATACGTATTTTTTACTTACCTGTACATTTTTTTTTATCCTTCCACAAGAGCTTGATCCAGAAAGGTCACCGCTCACTAAGCCGCTCAGTGAGCGGGTTTTAGTAACAGCAGTGGCGCCATCGGTGGCAAAACGCTCAAGTTTATAGTGACAATAGTTCCCACCATTTCTGTAAGATGGCGCCACTGGTTCCTTAGAATCATTTAGTGGCGCCATCGGTGGTAAAACGCTCAAGTTTATAGTGACAATAATAGTTCCTACCATTTCTGTAAGATGGCGCCACTGGTTCCTTAGAATCATTTAGTGGCGCCATCGGTGGTAAAACGCTCAAGTTTATAGTGACAATAATAGTTCCCACCATTTCTGTAAGATGGCGCCACTGGTTCCTTAGAATCATTTAGTGGCGCCATCGGTGGTAAAACGCTCAAGTTAATAGTGACAATAGTTCCCACCAAATATTTTTTATTTTTCTTTTATTGCATATATATATATAATCTATTTTCTTTTACATCATTTAACTGTCACGACTCCATCTCCTTTCTTAATCTATAATAATTGAAATTTTAAGAAAGCTAAATGTTATCGTTGCATAAAAGGGCCCTGATAAAATTCCTTGATAAATACGTAACATAAGATGATGAATATGTGTAATCCACGAGCACAATTTAAGAAAATACTAACGTATTTCCCATGCTTCCAGATCTAGATCTAGGCACAACGTTATCCGTAAATCTGACGCTGATTTCCGTGACTGCCATATTTCCAGTGAGAAACTGTGCCAGAGTTTCAACACCTGCACGGGGTTGACGGTCGAAAGGGAATCCCATGGATCGAGCATCTGGGTATTTTTTATCTCTCAACCCGCAGTAGCTCACGGCATCCTTACAAGAGGATGACTCGTCTTGTTGAACCTAAGCATTAAATTGCACTGTAAACATCTTACTTCAAATACATGCAATTGTACTATCAAGAGTTATTGCAAATTAAATTTATAATCTGATATAAATCTATATGTAGTTTATTAGTATTGCAAGTGTCAAATTAATTAAACATTTACTCACAGCGTCGCTATTGTAATCAGAGACCATAACAAAAAGATCCATCGGGTAGCCTTCTTTGTTTCCTTTAGGTACTAACATATGATGCGGCCAACCACATCCACAGAAATTGAATTGTTCCAGAGAATCACCACTAATCGGTCTACTGTCGTCTAAATTCCGGAAGGTTCTCTCGAATGGTATAGTTACAGAGGATTCCGTTGACTTGCGTTCAATTGTATTTTGTCCTGGACGAACTGGAGCAAGACGAGGAAAAATATTAAACAAAATTTTGTAATATGAGTACGTGTTAAAAAATTGAATAATTAAAAAAAATCAGGTTTAAATCAGGTCAAAAAAGTAAGGTTGCAAAAATAATATTATTGGAAACATACGCGACACGGTGAATTTATCCATTTCGATCATCAAATTCTTTTGTTGTTTAAACATAAAAGGAAGTCCACGCTCGTCTTCCCTAGGAGCAATGAAAATACGGACAGTGCCTCTTCGTACCGCACTGTTGCGATTGTTGACAACAATTGTATACGTAAAGTCGGCATGGTTCAAATGAGTGAATCTAGCAAGCACTGGGCCACGTGGCGTGAAATCAAGTCCACGAGACAGATCGACGACGCTCTGGGTCCAGAAAGTGTTCAATACGTTGCGCTGTTGATTTGTTGTCAATCTGACATCCCCTATTTCAATGCCCGGAAAGTCCAACTGTGAGAAAAGAAACATTTTAGTATTTTACATTATTTTATTTATTCTTTTTATATGAAAAGAAAAATCTGTTGGTTATTCTTAATAATCTCAGAATAAACAGCTTTGTATATTTGTTATACATTCTAATAAAGTGTATGTTTACCTGTTGCACGCTGTAGTCAGGCAGAGTATTTTTATATTCTTGGAAAACATCGTCAACAAAAGCATGCCATCTATAGAATATTGGATCTCTCATAGCAGTCGCAGAATCACCCATGATACCAAACCTCTCCTAAGAAGAATCAAAGAATCTTTTTAAAAATGCTCTATAGGTACAACAATTATGTATACCCACCAAGTAACGATGATCTGGATCGTGACAATAAGAAATAGCAACGTGACCCAAGTTATGAAGGTCGCCGTAAACGTTTGGATTAGGAGACAGGATGCTGGCCTCCATTATATTTCCTAGTATGTCGATTCCATCTTTTTCTGTTAACGGTATCCTTTCCCCTCTCGTGTTGATTACAGATCCTGTATGAATCGTTTCATAAATACGATCCCTCCATCTTTCCAAATCCTGAATGTCGAAATCCAATTGATCCACTGGTCGATCGATATCCTTGAGAACAGCGCCACTTGGACGAGCTGGCCATGTACGTCCAGCAACCATGGAATCTAATTTTGGGAAGTAACCCTCAGGGATTGGCTCGCGCCAATCGACGAAGCGCTTTACACGTCCCAGTCGATTGCACAAACGTTCACAGTTGTATCTAAAGGCATAATAGATGAAGTACAGATGATATTCATTCGTATATTCGCTGATAAAATTATTAAATAGAATGGTTACCTAGCCATAATTTGCTCATGCATGTAATAAAATAGCTCTCCACGTCGATCTTTGTTTACAATTACTCTCTGTCCTTCGAATGGGTAGACCAAGTGCCAGTGCCAGTGATGGAGATTGATCCCAATGTCTTCCCTCCAGTACGCGACACGATGTTCCATATCGAGATCCGATGCGGTGTAATCTCTTGGGATGTCGATTGGTATCTACACGCAAAAAAGATATAGAATTATAAAGTAACCCTTAAAATATTCTATTTGCTCAAATTAGTGAGAACTATTTGTATACCCTTGAACCAGCGGGAACAACATTGGCTTCCTCCCTAGCCCTCGAAAAAATAGCACCATCGAGGTATTTATCTGGAAATATCTCGGTCAACGGTGGTACCGGTAGATCCTTTGTATCAGGACGATGCAATATTGCTACAGAAAGTGCGTAAATGAACATATTTGGATTCAAACGATCACGGCAGTAAACAGCAACGGATAAGAAGTCCTCGTATGTCCTCATTCCTGCAACATGAAACATAAGTAATTAATAGAAAAGGCATGTGTACTCATACATATAAAAGAATAAGTGTGCCATAAATGCATGCAAACGACAGTTTAGTAATTAATAGCTTCTGGGTGTAAACCCCTTGAAATTATGATATACACGTACCCATGAAAATGTCTATAAGTTGAGCAGCAATTTTTCGATGCGCAGGAATGAATAGCGAAAATGGTTCTCGACGTCCCAGCTGCATAGGTCCGCTAAGATCTGGAAGAGTGATTTGCTTCACTTGGAGTTTTGAATCTGCATCCTCGCCGAAGCGGTTGAATACTTCGGTTGCAACGGGACGATACTTGTCAGGCTACACATACCACAGACAGAAAACAAATTAATTCGAAGCGTTGATTCGAAGATATTAATATGCTATCAAATAAGATACTACATAATTTTTGTATAATAATATATTGTATAATAATATATACGATATTAATAAAGAAGAGAACTTACCAAGTAATCAGGTGGTATATCAAAAGCGACTTTTTTGTCTCCTTTGGGCACGTAAACCGGCTCGGAAGGTCGATCGAAGAGATACAAAATACGCGACTTATCGGTTGCCATATTAATTGATAGTTTTTTTTTTAATATAATAGAAATGTTAATGTATAATAGAAAAAAAAGTAAAATTAACAATGATCTAAAGTTCTTCACTTGTAGATGTTTCACGAAGTACTATACTGTGACGTACTAATAGTAATAGTATCTAGCAAACTGTTGGCTGTTTAAACCACCGCTGCTGACAACCGTCTTAGGAAACAATACGTTCGACGTCTGATTTATAGAAGACTTTACAGGATACAGTGGTTCCATTACAAACCACAATATCCGTCGTAAAGTCCAAAAATAATCAGAAGTGAAAGGGGACATCCCTTTGAGAATTTCTTCGACCAAATCCTGTACTTCTTTCCTGTTTTTGAAGGAAATGGATCGTGATTAGGCGTTGGTAATCAGATTAATAGTTCTGGTTTAAGCCTCAGTATTTATATAAAAGATTCAAGAACGTCACGACTTAACCAGAAAATCATGATTTTCGGGGTGTGAAAACAGAAAACGAGAACAGAATTAATTAAATAAGATATCTGCATTTTACAAAGCAATAAGTTACACGAATATCCTTAGAAGAAACTGAAGAATCAAATCGTAGATCGTATTTTATAATATAAATTGTAAACGGTAATCAACGTCGTTGGGTAGTTACGTAGCAAAGTGAAATATGTTTTTTGTTCCGCTTATTTATGGAGAAGTAAGGCTGTATTTCGATTTCCGTTTACGTTTCGCGCATAAACTTCATGCTATTATACAATGTTATTGGAAAGGCGATGCAGTTATCGAACGTACAAACGTGTACGCTCCGACGCTACAGCATCCGATAGCTCGATTTCCTTGGAAGACTAAGACAACGACATCGTCGACGAGAACTACCGTTGGATGAAGTAGCACCAAAACGCGTATCGATAAGCAATATACCAAGAGCCACGATATTGACATTGACGTTGTCTGTAAATTATAATTAGCATTTGTAAACTTCGTCGTCGTTACCACAAGCAAAAGAGCTACAAGTAAATTCATCTAAGAAGTGTTGATAACTGCTCGTTGCTTCTGTCGGTGTCTTAGAATATTATTACTATTAATCGTACGCATTTGTAAAGGGTGTATAGTTCGTTATTTGATTTTCAGCCTTCAATTTTGATTTGTTACTGTGAAAATAATACTTTGACATCGATGAACAGTCGTGACGACATTGACGATGAGAAACTAAGCCTGCCTATTCCGAATTAGCATGTTTGTTTATAGCATTCTTCGTGCTTGATTTACTGCGCACGCATGTTTTATCATTTCTTTAACTTAATACGTTCATTGTTCCCTCATCTATACGAATGTCAGGCCATCTCTCAGTTTTTGATTCGTGTACGAGTGAGGTGAGCAATGACGCAAAGATTATGGATTTCCAAGTCCCACGAGCGACACCAATCTCTGACTATTGGGGCAGTGAACGTGTCATTTGATGACAAACAATGGCTTGTCAAGGAGATCCTCGGCTATGCGTACAGCAGTTGGTTCTTCGTTCCTGCTTTCATCGGACTGGAGATCCTACGCTGATTCCGATCAATCGCTGGGAATAAGCAAAAGTAAGACATGCATAAATAAAATGACACTTTAACAATAGTAATTTAATTTAGTAAATTTTTTTAAATTGTGTCACACAACAATCAACAGTTTAACAGTTTCAGAAGCAAGTGTACTTATGCGTACAATGTTTGCATAACCTAGAATATTACCTATCGCTGTTTTCGGTCGTTGCTTCTTCGCTGCAATCCAAATCGAGTTCACCCTGAATAGCGCTTTGCAAGTCGTCGATTCTTTGAAGCGCCAATCGGAGGTCATCTCTGGCGATTTTGGTCTCCGCTTCTGCAGCCTCGAGAGACTTCTCCAATTCGCGGTGAGCTCGCGTAGCCTCTTGTTCACGCGCCACTGCAGAGTTCACTTCTTCTCTCGCTTCGCGCAACGACTTTTGCAATCTTCTTGCAGCGTCTTGGGCAGTCTGTTCCTTCGTTCTCAGCAATGCCGATTCAATTTGCAGCTTCTCAACGTTTTCTTTCAATCTTGCTATTTGAGTCTGTAACGAAATAGAGTGTACAGAATTCTAGACATACTCAACAGGGATATCGTAGGAAACAGAGATCTAGATAAGGAATAATTGAGACAAATACAAAGTAACTTACTTCCAAACGTGCTCTTGTCGTTTGTTCCAGTTCAAGTTTACTTTCAAGTTCTTTGGTGCGAAATTCCAATCGTCTCGTGACGAGGCTATTTGCCGTAGGATCCCCGAGTTGCTCCACGGACTCTAGTCGTTGAGTCAGTTCCAAAAGTTGATCTTTCAACGAGGACTTCTCCGTCTCCAGAGCGGTGATTTGTATTTGCGCCTCTTGTAACTGTCCCTGTTCCGTAGATACTTGTTGAACCGCTGCTCGATACTTCTTTAAAACCTGCCAGGACACATTAACAAAAGTTATGTAAGCTTCGCTATGTAATATCCAACATGTCTAAGTAATTGAATAAAATGTTTACTTCTGCGAGCTCTTCTTCGTTTTCTTCCAGTTGAGAGAGTAATTCGGTTCGCTCACGATTGGCTATACTAGCGCGCTCCTCCACCTCGGAACGTTGCCGTAGCGCTTCGTCGAGTGAGGCTTGTATCTCATTTAATTCCAACTCCAACGCCTGTTTCGCCTTTATCGCAACTGCTCTAGCACACTCAGCATCCTCCAACTGATTCTTCAATTGCCGTAACGCTGCCTTGCCCGTCGACTCTCCTTTAGATCTCTCGAGCATCGTTTGAGCATCTCTGAGGAGCGCTTTCGTCCTCTTTAGATCTCTCTTCAACCTGACCAATAGACAAACCATCCCATTTCACCAAGATACATATACAGGGTAAAGCATTCGCTATCGTACTCTCTTAATTCAAACCAACATACCTGTGCATGGTTTCAGCTTCTATAGCACGCTCAGTTCTATCCTGTTCTTCGATAGCCACCAAGCGACGTTCCAATTCGTGTTTCTCGCGAAGCAGAATTGTCCTCTCCTCGTGCTCGTTTTCCAACTGTGATTCTAGAGCTTTAACTTTCTTAAGCGCAGAGCCCCGTACGTCTTCTAATTCTTCGTCCCGCAACTGCATTTCTTTGCGCATTTCCTTACGCTGTTGCTCGATGCTCATTTCAAGTCTCAACTTCGCTTGCTCGAGAAGTTGTACTTGGCCAGCGAGGTCGTCCAGTTCCTCTTCTTGATCTTTCACTCTTTTCTCCAATTCGTGCTTGGCTTTCTTCAAATGCGCTACTTCCTCTTCTGTCTTGCCGCCAAAAGTCAGCTCTTCGAGTTCTTGGCTCAACGTTCGCAATCTTTCTTCCTTCAACTCAATCTCTAGCCTCGCATCCTGCATTCGAAAATAACGAATACGAAAAAAAAAAACGTGTAGATAAAATGCGTGAATGTTCATTTCAATGAAGCATTAAATAAGGAAGTACACTTACACTCAGATTCTGCTCTATGGTGAACTTCTCTGCGATTGCAATCTCTTTTTCTCTAGCCACCCTCTCGCGTTGCGCTTTTTCTTGTCGAAGATCGTTCAGTAGATTCTGTGTTTCCGAATCAAACCTGGTTAAATAAATTTACAAGCTATAAAACTTATGATGTTTGAACGATTTACAACTAAGTGTATTATAACAACGAAAAATTGTTATTGTCTTTTAGAAACAATAATGTTCTAGTTTCGAGACAATCGTGGATATTTTTGGAGCCATTTCTGTCACCGAACGCTCGACTAAACCTTTACGTTGCAGAATGTTAGCGATGTTGGCAGCTTGGCAAATTGTCAGAAACATTTGTTGTCGATGGGTAAAATGAGAAATTCCTTTCAATAATATACGGAGGAAAATCGCTGACGACTTTAATAAACGATCATGTTCCCCTTACTTAAAAAATAAGGGGAAAAAAAAACTATCACTATGTTAAATCAAATTATGAAAAATAAAGTCAGAGAGTTTTGTGATCGATTCCAAATACACTCGGTTTATCACTAACAAACAGTATTACATTATAGTGCATGGTACACAAAGAAGACGATCAAACGTTAACCTCTTGGTTTACAATGTCGTGTTAGAGACGCGGTAAGTCGATCGGCCCAAACATCAACAAGACGTATCAGAGAATGTCTCGACGTTTGACCGATCCTGTTATCGTTTATAGCAAAAAGTATGTATAAGAAGTGCTATACAAATTGTACAGGTCACGTACTTGCGTTGCTTTTTCTCTAAAAGATTGTTTCTGGTTGTTTGTTCTTCTAATAAAAGTCTTAGGTCGTGCATTTCTCCGTTCAGTTTTTGTACACGTCTCTTCCATTGTCCAACGACCTGACGTTGTTCTTCAACCTCCTCATAGGCATCGGCTAACTGAATCATGAACAACGTCAAATTGAAACATTCTCACGTGGACAAGGTGCAAAATCATTTCTGTTCACCACATTACTTTAAACGAACAATATGTTTTATTTTCAACATAGATACCTTTTTCTCCAATTGTTTCTTAAGCCCGACTAGTTGTTCGAGGTCATCCTCATGCTGTTGGGTCATTTTTCGTTTAGTGAATTCAAGTTCCCTCACAGCATGCTCGTACCTCTGTTTATAAACCCCTCCATCCTCGCCCTCCTCAACGTCGGACGCGACTCCGTTTAAATCGGCGGCTCTTGCGTACAGGAGCTCCATTTCCAAACGTTCGGTTGCCTGTTGAAGATTCTTATGAGCAACAGTCACATCTTGAAGTTCTCTCTCGAGCCGTAAACGTTCAGACGTCTCCGCGTTGATTCTCTCCGCTGCCAACGTCGAAGTCGAATGTTCTTCTGCAAAGTCGGCGGATATCTCGCTTAGCTGGAATTACAGACAAAAAAAAACTATTTCAAATATTCGATTCACGTGCAATGTCGTACACAAGTAAATCGAATAGCTGATTGAACGCAATTGTGCTTTTTAGACGATTTTTCAATCGTCATAGTTATCTGCAACAGTTATTTCCTTTGCGTAGATATTTCCAATTATATGTATACTTAAAATGCAAACTGTTAAAGCAGCGATAGCATATCGAAAAAGTACTTATTATAGAATAAGTTATCAGTCAATTCTAATA